CTTCCTGCCTGGAATGACCCTGCCCTTGGCCTCGGGGCGGGGGGCCCCCTATTTATTCTATACTGTGTATAAACCCAACAGTCAGGGCGGAGTAAAGGATGGAGGATGTGGAATAAAGGATGGAACATGTGGAATAAAGGATGGAGGGTGTGGAATAAAGGATGGAGCGTGTGGAATAAAGGATGGAGCGTGTGGAATAAAGGATGGAGGATGTGGCTCCTCTGGGTCCCCTGGGAATGGGGTTGGGACACAGGTCCTGTGTCCTGCTCACGATCAGTGGGATGAGGAATTTTTACCCTTCAGGCAAGTGGTGGGAGGGGAAGGGAAAGGAAATGGATGGGGAAAGGAAAAGGGGAAGGAAAAGGAACATGCTGGTTCTTAGGAGATGGAGCTGAATCTGATGGAAAAGTGGGAATCAAACAGACAAGGAGAGCAGAGAGAAAGGGAAGGCAAGGGACATTCTGGCCCTCGGGAGACGGGGCTGGGTCCGACGGAGAGGAGGGAACCACACAGACAAGGGGAGTAGAAAAAAACAACCAATGTACAATCCTCAAATATACATCCCGGGGCTTCCAAAGGATCCCGGGGGAGCCGGGACACGCCCGGCATCCTCAGCTGCTCTCAGTGCAAGTCCGTGTGTCCCCGGTGGTGGCACAGACACGGGGACAGCCCTGCAGTGGGTGGGGTGACGGTGCCAGTCTGTCCTTCCCCGGGCACCATCCGGGCACCCCCCAGCGTGGGGGTCACGGCAGGGGACCCCTCTGACCCCACACCTTGCTGTCCCTCAGCGTCCTGGGCTCTCCCAGCCCTGCGTGGCCGTGGCCACCCCCGGGGGGCAGAGGGGACAGTGCCCAGCCCCGTGGCTGTGGCTCGTCCCTCCCTGAGCTGCCTCGGTGAAGTTGGGGGGGTCTCTCACACGGCGTTGGCGTCGGGCCCGGCCAGGCCCAGGTACTCGGGGTTCTCGGCCGTGGGCGTCGTGCTGGGACCACCCTCGGGCCCCCCGCCCTTGGGGGGGTCCTGGTTCCAGTAGTAGGGGTTGTCGAAGGCCTGGCTGAAGGGCCCGGGGGGCGGTGCCAGGTACTCGGGGTTCTCCACGGCGTGGCTGAAGGGCCCCGGGAACGGGAGCTTGGGGTCCTTGATGAGCCCGTTCTTGCCCTGGTGCCCCTTGGGCTTGTCCGGCGGGGACGGGGGCGCGCGGGG